AATTGTAGCTATTGCAGTGGTTTCAACTTTCTTTATATCTGTATTTGGAAGATATCTTGAGATTTCATGAGAGCCGCAATTTTTGTTCATATTTATACTCACATGAACTGTGTTAAGTATCTGGTTGCCTATTTTGGCATTATAGATGAAGGTTATTGTGAGGATATAGACTTTGATCCCAATTATTTTCTTCCTGGATAAAGATATCATGATTTATTACAATTTTTATAATAAATTTTAATTAATTTAACTATACTTAACAATAAAAAAATTGTAACTTCAGTATTCTTTGGAGTGCAATCATGAAATTTTGGTATGTGGTACTTAAAAGGTGTCTTTACAAGGTAATTGTTGTCTTACAAGTATTCCTTGTGAGGGAAAATTTTTCTAAGGAATAGAATTATTGTGTTCAAAATTAGCTGTAAGTTCCCGATAAAACAGCATAGCTTTGCTGTTTTCATAAATGATGTGCTCTATTGATCAAGCACTTTATCTCTCATTGTGGCAAGTCCATTGCTGTGATAGTTTTCTGATTCTATTCAAGTTTTCATGTATCTATGTATGCTACCACCCACGCAGTTGCTCAATGAACGAGAAATAGGTTTATACACAATTTATATGGACTTCCGGTTGCTTGGCTGCCCGACTGCACAGGTGCCAGTTGCAAGGCAATCAGATCTCATTTATCACTATTATCATTGTTATAATGTATGTAGCTGTGGCTGTGGTTTGCCTCTATCAAAGCCTGTGGTTAACAGGAAAGCCAATACATATTATGCTGTGCAGTACTACATATTCCATGCAGTGCTACATTTTCCTACATTGCAAGTTATTGAAGTTGTAGCACTGGCTGTGTCTTTGATCCGCCCACACACCATACTACAAATGTAAATATTGCTACATGTACAGTGTGCAAGTGTAATATTTATTGGCTCAATTGTATGTACATGTATGACTATAATATACATGTGGAGGTTTACCAATTCACTGGTATATACTGTACATGTATTCTCTTAACTCTTATTGACTCACAGATTGATAAAGGAGTGTACATATCAAGGAAGCTATTGTTTGCTGGTATGCTGTTGAGAGTCAGTGGATTGTGGACTAAAGGGGAAACTGTCAAGAGTGGAGTCCATAGTGACTGACTCTACCAGTGTTGGTGAAAGGTTCATTAATACAAATAAATGTATGATTCTTTCTCTTTGTCTCTGTCTCTCCCCCCTCTCTCCCTCTTTTAGGTGTGATTCCATTGATAAACTCCATAAAAGGTGTGAGACCATTAATTGAGAGATACAGGACTCATAACAGTTCAAGGACTTCTACCAGTTTACGTTTAATGTTGCCAAAGACCTAAGGCAGAAAGGACTAGGCTAGTGACATATTATAATACATGTACATGTACATTTAGGATGATGTTTCACACAATGATTTCAATCTACATGTGTTGATGGGGGAATTTTGCAAGTGATCCTACTAAAATTTGAGAGTACATGTACATGTATGATTTAATATATATTGTATGAATTGATTAAAATCTTTTGTGCTTTTTATTTTTTTACAGATCTTGAGATGGCCATTGCCTACTGGAATCTTATTTTTACTGGTCGCTTCAAATTTTTGGACTTGTGGTATGAATTTTTAAGAGTAAACAATACTTTTAATTACATGTAAAGGTCCCTTTCTCTCTCTCCCCATCCCTCCCCCTCTCTCTCTCCCTCTCTCAGTCTCATTATAAAAGAGCTGGCAATACCCAAAGACACTTGGAACCTTCTGCTAGAGTTTTCTAACAGGATTGATGACACCATGAGCAATTATGATGAAGATTGTAGGTCTATACTGTATTAATTGTAATGTCCTCCTCTTTAAATAATTTGTATTTTGTACAGCACTTTAATGTATGGCAGCTTTATTTCTTTTTTGATGATTTTATGCATATATATGTACAGCACTTTACTATGAACATGTACATGTACATTAATGATTGTATGGTTGGTTTATTATTCATAGGTCAGTATATACTCTAACTATGTACATGTACAAATTCCTCGGTTCTTTTTTGTGTCTGATCCAGCACTACTGGAGATACTGGGAAATATATTGGGTATCTGACAAAAGCCCATGGTTTTTTCCAAAAAATGGCCAAAAAATCACCCCAAATATTTATTACATTATCTGATACATATTGATGTACTTATGCTGTGTAGAAAGTTTGAGATGATTCCCACTTCAATTTTTCAAGTTATGGCCATTTTAAGAAAATGGGAAAATTCTGAAAAAGAACACAAGGCTATATATTTTTTTTCAAATAAATAAATATTTATATTTGATCCTACATGTAATAGACTGGAAGTATTATTATTACTTATTGTCATTGTTTTCATTTTTACTTTTATCAAGAGTAGATAATAAGGATTTACAGATTATTATTTATTTGTTTATTTTTGTATTTACAGTTCATTTGTGCATTGAAATCCTCTCATAATCCAAACTGGATATCACAACTTTGTTTTATTCCAAATATTGACAGAAATGGTAATAATAATTACAGTGTACAATGTATTGTGTTAGCTCATGTCTCTTACATTCTACATGTACCTTCTTTTGTACATGTACATGTAAAACCTTCTGTGCTCCCTCCTTCTTCCCCATCTCCTCTCTCTTCCTCCTTCATACAATGTATTTCATTCTCTCTCTCTCACTCTCTTTTTTCTTACATTCTTTTGTAACATTTTTTGGTGGATTTTACATATGTACATGTATACATGTATTGGTGTCATTTGGTGATTTACCATATATCTGGAAATTTTCGTCTGTATTTAGTTTTCGGATGAATGGCTTTGAGCGAAATTAAAATTCATGAAAATTAATTTATTCATGCATAAGTTTTGCATGCAGATACCACCATCACGTGCATTGTCAAGACACGTGGCACTATCATCACAAAATGGCGCTGCTTTGTTTCTTCCAATTAAAGTATCTCTCCTAGTCTCCTACAGCAGTTGGCAGACAATCTAATAAGCATGGTAGCTTCTCAAGCAGAGATGCTCTGTGGGATCCTTCATAAGATCTTTAAAATTTTGTATGTTGTTAATTTTTGGACAGGAACCACTGTGCAAAATTAAAAATACATGAATTTTTTCTGTCTGAAAATTTTCTCCTATGAAAATTACCAGATATACGGTAGCAGCCAAATCCCATTGAGCAGCTCAGAATAAAACACAACAACAGATTTTATATTAGTGGATGTTCACTGCAACCAATATTAATTCCCCACAAATGCACATATTTATATATATATAGTATCATCTCTATTTATACGTCATTTGATATACTGGTAAAATGATCATGAAATTTTGAAATGACGCATGCATGTACATGTACTTTTGTGTATGCATGACTTGATTTTCTAAATTTGTCATGTTTGTTCATTTTTAATTATAATTTATTATTTATTATTAATTATGTTTATTTTTGTTTTCATTGTTATTTAAAGACTGTGAGGATACATTAGGATTAGTAAGGTCATCTTGTCCTGTCTCA